GTTGTCCATTTTACTGGCATATAGTTGTTTCTGGTAGTCTCTTATAATCCTTTGTATTTCTGCAGTGCCCATTGCGATTTCTCCTTTTTCATTTTTAATTTTATTGCTTTGCGTCCTCTCCCTTTTTTTCTTGATGAGTCTGGCTAAGGGTTTATCCATTTTGTTTATCTTCTCAAAGAACCAGCTTTTACTTTTATTGATCTTTGCTATTGTTTTCTTTGTTTCTATTTCATTTATTTCTGCTCTGATCTTTATGATTTCCTTCCTTCTACTGATTTTGGGTTTTCTTTGTTCTTCTTTCTCTAGCTGTTTTAAGTGTAGGGTTAGTTTGTTTATTTGAGATTTTTCTTGTTTCTTGAGGTGATATTGTATTGCTATACACTTCCCTCTTAGAATGGCTTTTGAGGCATCCCATAGGTTTTGGGTCATTGTGTTTTCATTGTCATTTGTTTCTATGTATTTTTTTAATTTCTTCTTTGATTTCTTCAGTGATCTCTTGGTTATTTAGCACCGCACTGTTCAGCCTCCATGTATTTGTGTTTTTTACCGTTTTTTTTTCCTGTAGTTCACTTCCAATCTCATAGCACTGTGGTCAGAAAAGATGCTTGATACGATTTCAATTTTCTTAAAATTTCTGAGGCTCAATTTCTGACCCAAGATGTGATCTCTCCCAGAGAATGTTCCATGTGCACTTGAGAAGAAAGTGTATTCTGCCACTTTTGGGTGGAATGTTCTATAAATATCAATTAGATCTATCTGGTCTATTGTGTCATTTAAAGCTTATGTTTCCTTATTTATTTTCTGTCTGGATGATCTGTCCATTGGTGTAAGTGGGGTGTTAAAGCCCCCTACTATTATTGTGTTACTGTCGATTTCTCCTTTCATGGTTTTTAGCATTTGCCTTATGTATCGAGGTGCTATGTTGGGTGCATAAACATTTATAATTGTCATATCTTCTTGGATTGATCCCTTGATCATTATGTTGTGTCCTTCTTTGTCTCTTGTAACAATCTTTATTTTAAAGTCTATTTTATCTGATACGAGTATTGCTACTCCAGCTTTCTTTTGATTTCCATCTACATGGAATATCATTTTCCATCCCTTCACTTTCAGTCTGTATGTTTCCCTAGGTCTGAAGTGGGTCTCTCGTAAACAGCATATATATGGGTCTTGTTTTTGAATCCATTCAGCCAGTCTGTGTCTTTTGGTTGGGGCATTTAATCCATCTACATTCAAGGTCATTATCGATATGTATGTGCCTATTACCATTTTCTTAATTGCTTTGGGTTTTTTTTTTTTTTTTTTTTGCGGTACATGGCCCTCTCACTGTTGTGGCCTCTCCCGTTGCGGAGCACAGGCTCCAGACGTGCAGGCTCAGCAGCCACAGCTCACGGGCCTAGCCGCTCCGCGGCATGTGGGATCTTCCCAGACCGGGGCACGAACCTGTGTCCCCTGCATCAGCAGGTGGACTCTCAACCACTGCACCACCAGGGAAGCCCTTGGGTTTGTTTTTGTGGGCCTTTTTCTTCTCTTGTGTTTCCCCGCTTAGAGGAGTTTCTTTAGCATTTGTTGTAAAGCTGGTTTGGTGGTGCTGAATTCTCTTAGCTTTTGCTTGTCTGAAAAGCTTCTGACTTTGGCATCAAATCTGAATGTGATCCTTGCTGGGGAGAGTGCTGTTGGTTGTAGGTTTTTCTCTTTCATCACTTTAAGTATACCCTGCCACTCCCTTCTGGCTTGCAGAGTTTCTGCTGAAAAATCAGCTGATAACCTTATGGGGATTCCTTTGTATGTTATTTTTTGTTTTTCCCTTGCTGCTTTTAATATTTTTTATTTGAATTTCATTTTTGTTAGTTTGATTAATATGTGTCTTGGTGTGTTTTTCCTAGGGTTTATCCTGTATGGGACTCTGTGCTTCCTGGACTTGGGTGACTATTTCCTTTCCCATGTTAGGGAAGTTTTCAACTATAATCTCTTCAAATATTTTCTCAGACCCTTTTTCTCTTCTTCTTCTGGGACCCCTATTATTTGAGTGTTGGTGCGTTTAGTGTTGTCCCAGAGGTCTCTGAGATTGTCTTCAATTCTTTTCATTCTTTTTTCTTTATTCTGCTCCTCGGCAGTTATTTCCACCATTTTGTCTTTCAGCTCACTTATTCGTTCTTGTGCCTCAGTTATTCTGTTATTGATTCCTTCTAGTGTATTTTTCATTTCAGTTATTGTGTTGTTCATCTCTGTTTGTTTGTTCTTTAGTTCTTCTAGATCTTTGTTAATCACTTCTTGTATTTTCTCAATCCATGCCTCCATTCTATTTCCGAGATTCTGGATCATCTTTACTCTCGTTACTCTGAATTCTTTTTCAGGTAGATTGCCTATTTCCTCCTCATTTATTCGGTCTTGTAGGTTTTTGCCTTGCTCCTTCATTTGTGACATATTTTTTTGCCGTCTCTCTTTTTTTTTTTTTTTTTTAATGAGTGGGATTGTGCTCCTGTCTTACTGGTTGTTTGGCCTGAGGCTTCTAACACTAGGGTTTGTAGGCTATTGGGTAGAGCTGGGTCTTGGTGCTGAGATGAGGAGCTCCGTGAGACCTCACTCTAAAGAATATTCCCTGGGGTCTGAGGTTCTGTTAGTCCAGTGGTTCAGACTTGGAGCTCCCACCGCAGGAGCTTTGGCCCAATGCTGGGCTCGTGAACCAAGATCCCGCAAGCTGCCTGGGGCAGCAGGAAAAGAAAGAAACATACAACAATAGCAAAGTAAAAAATAAAATTAGACTAGGAAACTAACAGATATGTTAGGAAGAATATAAAAATAAAAATATAGATGAATCAACAACCGGAAGGTACATTAGTACCACAATAGTAAAAAAGAGGAGGGAAAAGAAAAAAAATAAACAAATAAAAATTTTAAAAGGGGGGGGTGGGAAGGTCTTGCCTGTGGAGGGTGGGGCCTAAGCAAGGGTGAGGTTTGGGTGGTGGGCGGGGCCAATGCTCAGGACCCACAGGGCTGGAAAACACCCTGGGGGCTGTTGGGGTGCAGCTTAGGCTCAAGGAACAGAAGGGGCCCAGGCATGCTCCCCACCCCTGGTCTCAGAGGGCAGGGGACCTCACCTGGGAGCCCAGAGGGCTTCCTGGACGCCCAGCGGTCTTCCTGGACTCAAGTTGGCAGGGCAAATGCCCTCTGCTCCTCCTGGGTGGCCCCTCCCGCCTGCCTCTCCAGATCTCTCTGGCCTCCCTCCTATGCCCCCAAGGACCCATGCAGCCTGGAGGGGGCCTTGGAGGGCAGGGGATTGGCTTGGGAGCTCAGAAGGCTCCCCAGCCCGAGTGGGCCAGGCGATTGCCCTCCGCTCCTCTCCCGCTCCTCCTGAACTCCTCCTGGAGAGTCCCTCCTGCCTGCCTCTCCTGATCTCCCCGGCCTCAGGGGCACTGATCCTGTCTGGCCTCCACTTCTCCTCCCGCCTCAGTCCCCCTACTGGTTCACTCTGGGGTTTCCTCCCATCTCCTTGGGCATCAGAGTCCCCCACCAGCGGCTGGCAGGCACCCTAGTTGTGGGGAGACGCTAACTCTGAGTCTTCCCACACCGCCCTCTTGACTCCGCCTCCTCATGTTCTCATATACTTTCTAATTCTTTTATATATTTTTTGTAATTTCATTGTTGCCATTAGGATAAGATTTGCATTCTTTTTCATTGATTATTATATTGTTATTTTCCTTGTTGCTATATAGACTTCCTTATTGCAATTTTATTTATTTACTTATTTATTTGGCAGGCAAAGAGTGAGTTTATTAGCATAGGAAACTTGTGAGAGATACAAGTGGGCAGGCAAGGCAGCGCAGCAGCCCCAAGAACAGAGTAGGCTACATTTTTATAATCAAAGAAAAAGTGGGGAGGGGAGACCACCTCTTCCTCACTCTTGGGCAGCTATCAAGGCTTACATAATTAGTTCCTCCTTTAACCCTATACAGTCTAACCTGGACTGTTATGGCGCTACTTAAATCATATGTATATTAGCAAAAGGGTGGTAACATACTAAAATATGGTAATTCATCTCAGGTTTTGGTATACCTTATTGCAATTTTAAATGATGCCTTGCTGTGTCATTTAAAATAATTTGCTGTAATTTTTTAAAATAAATTTATTTATTTATTTATTATTTTTTCTTTTTTGGTCGTACTGGGTCTTTGTTGCTGCACGCGGCTTTCTCTAGTTGCGGCAAGTGGGGGCTACTCTTCGTTGTGGTGCACGGGCTTCTCGTTGCAGTGGCTTCTCTTGTTGTGGAGCATGGGCTCTACGCATGCAGGCTTCAGTAGTTGTGGCTCGTGAGCTCTAGAGCACAGGCTCAGTAGTCGTGGCACACGGGCTTAGCTGCTCCGCGGCACGTGGGATCTTCCAGGACAAGGGCTCGAACCCGTGTTCCCTGAATTGGCAGACAGATTCTTAACCACTGTGCCACCAGGGAAGCCCTAATTTGCTGTAATTTAACAGCCCCCCATCATTGGACACTGATGGCTTCCATCTTGTGTATTGTAAGTAGCATCACCCTTTTTTTTTTAAGTGAAGTCTAGTTGATTTACAATATTGTGTTAGTTTCAGGTGTACAGCAAAGTGATTCGGTTACACATATACATGTACATATCTATATTCTTTTTTTAAATTCTTTTCCATTATAGCTTATTATAAGATATTGAATATAGTTCCCTGTGCTATACAGTAAATCTTTGTTTATTTTACATATGGTAGTGTGCATCTGTTAATCCCATACGCCCAATTTATTCCTCTCCCCCCTTCCCCCTTTGGTAACCATAAGTTTGTCTTCTATGTCTGTGAGTCTGTTTCTGTTTCATAAATACGTTCATTCATACTGTTTTTTAGATTCCACATATAAGTGACATCATATGATATTTGTCTTTCTCCGTCTGACTTATAAGTAGTATCGTTATTATTAGTGAGGGGACTTTGGGTCATTTCTGAATGGTGTGGGGTAAAGCCCAGCACTGTCATGTATTTACCTGGTCACTTTGGTGTTCATGAAGCACTGCTGTAAGGTGTCGGCCAACCTCTGGTGCACCAAGGAGTAGCGAATAAATGCTCTTCCCTTTCCCAGAGATGTTTGAAGCTGGAAAATGTAGTTAAAATAGAAATGAAGAGCTGTTAGCCTAACTCCAAATACAGGCCTCATGGATGGCTGACAAAAGCAGAAACAAAACAGGGCAGAAAATGTCATCCAATCCTACCCTACACATAACCTTCACTTACGTCCCTCAAAGAACACAAAACATTTGAGAATGTCACCCCACAGAGGGAGGCCTAAAGTGGGTGGACGTCTTGAAGGCCTCCGTCTGAGAAGAATCTGTAGACTCCAGCAAACGTGTCAAGGAAGAGACAGTCACGAGAGGCTCAAATATCTACTGTGGATTCTACCGGAATGTCATTCTTCCTCCTCTGCTCCATCAGAATCCCTGGGTTTAGAGTCAGAGATGAAACGGTCTGACTTAATTTGGAATATTTAGAAAACAGGCTGGAGGAAAATGAAGGGCTTCTCATACCAGAAGTACACTTGAAGAGGAAGAGACGGTCTCAGTTTAGCTAATGCCTGGGCTTATTTTTGAAGTTTTGGGAGAAGAGATTCAGGGGAAGAGGCCTAAGTGGCTTGGCTGGAGCCCATGTGGAAGGGGGAAGAGAGAGGAGGGCAAAAGACAGAGGAGTATTAGGGGGACTTGTGATGGATGTAAAACTGCCTCCTCTGTGTCCTCGTGGAACCATCACTAAAATCCACATATCTGTCAACGCTTTCCTGGTTGGATTTATTTTCAGCTATACCAACTCACTGCATTTAATCAGAAGGTGCCCAGGGGGTGAGGGGAGGGGTGTTTCTAGGTGGCCCAGTTACACTGAAGTAATGAAAAATGGGTGTGGTTCTGTTTCAGGAAGTCTGAGGTGGACGGAGGGTCCAGGTGCAGGCCTGTCTTCAAAACCTCTCCCCACAGTGCCAAAACATGGCTTCGAAAGAGGTTTCTGGAAGCTTGTTGGGATGGTGGTGGGGTACGCTGGTCACAGACTCTGGCCCCAGTTGCCAGGATGGACCATGGGCTATTAAGCTGTCCGAGGGTACAGCTATAGAAGACACTTGAGATCTGTAGGCAAATTAGGATTCATGCTCCCAATGTTTCAGCCCCAGAAGCTCAAGATAAGTAGGCAGAAACTCAAAACCTCTCAACCTACCACATGCACCTGTTCTGTCAGGTGCTGGCTCTGAGCAGGGTAAGCCAAGACCCATTCCCTCCTCACCTCTTCAAAGGTCAGAAATGTTTAACTTGGTGGTTGCGGGAAGGGGCAGTAGTGGTTTGACCAAAAGATGGTCCTAATCCTCCATCCTGTTAAGAAGCCAGCCATGGTGCTGGAATGAGACAGGAAACATGAGGTATGACCTCAAGCACCGGCACATTCATGATGCTATAAACATCCCGGTACCCAGCACCTTTTAGCTCAGAGCTATTTGCCTTCTCACTGCTGACTCGAGGAAATGATACCACAACGTGAAGCAGTTTTAAAAAATAAGAAGGTGTGAAACCTCATAAGACATTTATGTAAGAGGCTGTAAGACATTTTTTCCATGTGAGTTTTGTGAGTTTGGGGTATAGCCAGGAGGTCTGGAAATGAAGGTGGGCAGCAGCCTGACCTGGCTTTATAAAAACCACCATGGCACATCCGTGGGGAGTGTATCAAGACAGGTGCCCAGGGGAGAATGCTGATGACATCCCTATGTCCAAATGCTTTTCCACTGATAAGTGAGGTGAGAACAAAGTGTTCAGTGGTGATAACCAGGAGACCCAGGCAGCCGAGAACAGCTGAGCAAGGCATCCTGAAGTGAAGTGTGTTTGTCATACAAATGCACACCCACACATAGGCCCTGCAGAATCTAAAAAGAACCCCACATAACAGCCCACGTCTGTAAGCTCCCAAGGGAAGGGCTTGTTTTTTTGTTTTTATTTATTTATGTATTTATTTATTTTTGGCTGTGATGGGTCTTCGTTGCTGTGAACGGGCTTTCTCTAGTTGAGGAGAGCAGGGGCTACTCTTCTTTGTGGTGCGTGGACTTCTCATTGTGGTGGCTTCTCTTGTTGCGGAGCATGGGCTCTAGGCATGAGGGCTGCAGCAGTTGTGGCACACAGGCTCAGCTGCTCCACGGCATGCGGGATCTTCTCGGACCAGGGCTCAAACCCATGTCCCCTGCAGTGGCAGGCGGATCCTTAACCACTGAGCCACCAGGGATGTCCCGGGGCTTCTCCTTATTAATAAAATGGCCATTGTAACAGCATTTAGAACATTTAATTTTTTGAAGGCAAAGAGTTGAGGCTACATTTTAAATCAGGCCTATTAACTGAATTGATTATGTATGTAAAAGGAGCTATTTTAAAAGGTCTTTTTAGGGACTTCCCTGGTGGCGCAGTGGTTAAGAATCCGCCTGTCAATGCAGGGGAGACAGGTTCGAGCCCTGGTCCAGGAAGACCCCACATGCCATGGAGCAAGTAAGCCCGTGTGCCACAACTACTGAGCCTGTGCTCTAGAGCCTGCGAGCCACAACTACTGAGCCCACGTGCCACAACTACTGAAGCCCGCATGCCTAGAGCCCATGCTCTGCAACAAGAGAAGCCAACACAATGAGAAGCTCATGCCCCGCAACGAAGAGTAGTCCCCACTCGCCGCAAATAGAGAAAGCCCATGCACAGCAAAGAAGACCCAACAGAGCCAAAAATAAAATAAATAAATAAATAAATTTATTTATTTTTTTAAAAAAAGGTCTTTTTAAACATCCTTTGGGGAAGGGAACAGTAATAGTTCCCTTATACTGCAAATGAATATACTGCATAGCCTTGTTGTTTTTTTTTATTTTTGAACTTTTTGAGATCATGGGTCCACTTTCATCATCCAATTTCTTAATTTTTGTTAGCATCTAATCAGAACTCATTGCACTATACCGAGAAGCGATACAACATTTAATCATGCACCTGAGTGTCCCACCAGGCAAGATCTCACAGGATGTATCTATGCTACCTGGACATTAAACCAAATCCTCTGAGCCAGGATCTTTCCTCATTTTCTCAGCTGTCAGAAGGTACAGCTGGTGGAAAATGCCCAGCCCTCAGTGTCCACGTGTCTAACACCATCATTCGCTATAAGGAGAAACCCACCTGGCTCCAGCTGGCACGGCCAGGGAGTTCTTCCCAGAGCACCTGACCCTGTGGCCTTTGCGGAAGGCTGGCCAAGGAGCATGTCTGCCGACTTCAAAGGGACCTTAGACTTACTCATGAGATACTGGAAAGAAAGATGAAATATACAGACCCTTCAGGCCTCCTGCCTCAAATCTAGGGGATTACTTGCCCCTTAATGTGCAAAGTTCTTCACTCCCAGATGGACTAGGCTGGTGTGTGTGTGTGTGTGTGTGTGTGTGTGTGTGTGTGTGTGTGTGTGTGTGTGTGTGTGAGAGACAGAGACAGAGACAGAGACAGAGAGACAGAGAGACAGAGTATGTGTGTTGTTGTTGATCTGGAGTTTTGTAAAACAGCAAAGCCATGGCATTCTGCTCTTGAGGGGCTCAAAACTTAAGGTGGGAAGCTGCTTAGTTGTCTCTCAAGATCCCACATCACTCTCTTGATTTTTAATCCAAGTTTCCTGGGCAAATCATAGGGAAAGTAGCCTAGCAAACTCTAAGAATTTTATCTAAGAAACCGATTCTTTTAAAAAAGGTAAAGGTGTCCTATGCTGTACACCTCTCAGGGGCACCATGAGCAGACCACAATGTGAGCAGCCCACCCTGTTAGGTTACGTTTGGGTTGGGGTCTAATACAGTCAGGACTGAGCCATTCATTCCTCGGCTTGGTAAACGCTCGCCTAGGTGGCTTCCCGGAGCTCTCAGTGGGCACTGCACGTACCTGGACTGGATTTCTTTACTTCCTTCCTACACGTAAACCCTCACTTCCCCACTTGGCTGTTTGCAGCAAAGGTCTCTGTGAGAGAGGTTTAAGGCAGGCAAGGGAAAGAGGTGAGGTCCCTGGTTGCTCTGCTTACCTCTGAAATAGACTTGACGAATCGGATCCCGTCATTGGCTCCTTTCACCTTGGCCAGGCAGGCACAGAAGTAATCCCAGTAGTCCTTCTTGTTGCCCAGGAGGGTGGCCTTCTCTTTCTGATCGAACTGGGCAGAGAAAGGAGAGTGAGGACATCCAAACCCACTGCTATTTATCCCACCATTTAAACGATGAATAATGACAGCTTCTTAGTTGCCTGGCACTGGGCAAGGCCCTTTATTGGCATTATTTTTACTTACTGGTGAATGAGGGGGATTTCACCCTCAATTTACAGGTGAGGAAACTGAGGCTAGGAGAGATTAAGTAACTAGCTCAAGGTCATACAACTAGTGAGGTTCAGGAATAATAGGCGCCCAAAGGGCCCTCTGTGCATAGAGTTGGGTGGAAGACACCAAAGGTGCTATTAAGACGTGGTAAAGAAACTCAAATGAAAAGTTTTAAGGGTAACAGGAAGAGTGTTAACGATGTCTTGACGCAGGGAAATGTGTTAGTGACATTTTATCTGTTACTCAACTCAAGTTTCAATACTGTTTTAACATACATAGAATAAATCCAAATAAATGTCAGCCATGAGCCATTTCAAATCCCAAACCAAAATGGGCTGAGAAAAAAAAAAGCCCTATTAATACTTTCATAATGTAAAACAAGAGAACCAGTTGAAAAGGCATGTGACCAAAAAAGAGGGGATATATGTATACATACAGCTGATTCACTTTGCTGTACAGCAGAGACTAACACAACACTGTAAAGTAACTATACTCTAATAAAAAAAAAAAAAAAAAAAAAAAAAAAAAGGCACATGAAAGGTGAGCCTTCAATACACTGAGACACCTCCTCTAGTGGGCTCTCATCCTATACACGTTGGTGGGAGGTGACATTGCAAACTTATGGTGTTCAAAATGAGAGAGGATATCTTCCTATAATGTAATGCTCTATAGCATGTTTTTTTTTTGATTATAAAAGATTTGCATACATTGTTAGGACAACTGGATAAAACAAAAAAAAAAGAAAAGAAAAGAAAAAATTATAATGCCTACACCATCACCCTAAGATAACTTCTGTTATCATATTGGTCCATTTCCTTCCTGCCTATTGTAGTTGCCTGTATTTTTCCACATCTGCAGAGTTCTCTAGATCTGTGCTTCTTGAACCAAGCAGATATAAGCATTACACTGTAAACATGTTAAAAGAAAACTTCCTGAGCTGACCTCAGAGATCCTGATTCAGCAGGTCAAGGTGGGAACCAAGAATGTACTTCTAACCGGTTCCCAGGTGATGCCGATGCTGCTGGCCTATGGACCACACTTTAAGGAGCGAGGGTCCTCTGGGTAATCTTCAGAGGGTCCGCACACTCCTAGAAAATGTGTGATTGCGTATGTATGCATGTGTCTGGGGAGAGATTCCATAGCTTTCACCGGACTGCCAAAGGGGTATGTGACTCCCCTGAAGTTAAGATCCCTGCTATACAGAGAGACCTTGTGACCTGCATTAAGATGACCTAAATCTCTGAAGAATGTTCTCGATTCCCAAAACCATCCTGAGGGGCAACATTCTGATTCCCCAGAGGATCACACTTGGAGGCTGGGGACGGCTCTGACCTTCAGTCTAACCAGGAGGGCTCAACGGCTGCACTGAGCTTTCAGAGCTGCATCCTGAATGTTGATGAAGCCAAGAGGGAAACAAGAGACAACAGAGCAGAAACCAACACATGACAGGAGTCACTTACTTGAAGGAGATACTCAAGTTTATAAGAAAACTTATGCAAGCTGGTGCTGTCATCTGTGACGGGTTCCCCTGCTTCCTTAAATTCTCTGCTTAGTTCTGTCACAGCATCTTTAAGACAACAAACAGGAGCATGTCACCAGATAGAGACTGGGCTCAGAGAGAGCACCGGGATGGCCCCGGGGAGTAGCAGGCCTAAGTGGCCCATGACGGCAAAGCACCGTGCACATGTGGAGCGCTACGTAAACATCCATGGGCGGGAACTCCAAGTCAGAAGGCGCTAGGATGTCCTGAGAGCCCACAGGTACCTCACAACAGCTCACTGACTGGGCACATTTCTTGGTCATCCCTGTAGGCCTACCATGTAGGCCTTATCATTTGCGAGTAGTATTTCATCAAAAATGTCTGCTGTGTGGATAAATCATACAGCAGTCCCCTAATACTGACTTCCTGAGAGCTTTATCCTCTACTCCAGCCAGGTTTCTTGTTCTTCACTGCTCGGTACGGTTAAGTCCAGGTTTCCAGAGGACCCAGAATACGCAGAGGTCATGACAATGCCAAGAATGACACCACCACCTGCTTCTGTTAACTGAGTACTGGCTAGGGACCAGGCCTCTGCATGTCTTTCTCATTCAATAGAGCACTGTGAGGCAGGAATTGCTTTATTTCAACAAATCTAAGATGCAACTGATTTTAAGATGATTCCAAATTCAGAGCTGTTGAAATGTGAAAAAAACGTAAATGCACGGTAGAATTGATGAAGGCTGGCATTATCATCCCCATTTTACAGACGAGGAACTCACGGAGAGGTCAGAGCCAAAGATCACGGGTGGCAAACAGCAGTTCTGAAATGAGAACCCTGGTTTTCTCAGGGGCTCTCTGACCCCAGAGCTCACCTCTTAACTTCAAAGACGATTTACCTCCCAGTGTAGAAAAAGAGGAAAAACCCCTTTGACTCTCACTCACAGCCCTGCCGTGGGACAGAGGGACTGTCAGAAGTTGCGTTTGGTTTAGACACTGAGAAAAATGTCCCCAGCTGAGATGGCTGGGACATGCTGCACAAAGCTATCTCGACAATCATTGAAAGAAAAGGAACCCCTAGCCACTGCTCTCAAACACCATGGTTAGAAAGCAGACCTGCCGGGACTGAAGCTGAGCCTGAGCTGCTAAAAGTTAATCAAGATTGACCCCTCAGGCAAAGGTCAGCAAATGGCAAAGACATGTTCTTGGGGCTGAGTCTCACAACAAGTGACTGTGCCCTACTAGAAGTGTCTGCTGTGGCGGCACTGACAGCCGGCAGCCAGGGACCAGGAAAGACACACGGCCTTCCTCCCCCACCCTCAGGCTGGGGTAAAGCTCATAACCTGACCTGGGAACTCCTGAAATTTTGAAAGAAGGAGACTTGGACGTGGAATATGAAATTTCCAGCTCTAATCTCTGATAATTACCAACAGATGAAAAGAAAGGGTCTTGAGAAAGTGTGGTGCCTTTTAAAAATCCCCACCAAAGTGCTCTGAGGGCTGGGTATAGGACATTGAGATGGCCTTGGGATGTGGGGCATGACAGATGAGGATAGCACATGGAGTTAGAAAGGGCAACTGAACAAATTCTGATGCTGTCCTCCTCGCTGGATCAGGAGCTCTGCCATGGGCTCCTCTCTTCCCTCCAATAAGGACCTCTGGGTCCCAGAGTCATCCTTGAGAATCAGAGACTAAAACGAGAGAAGATGGCTTACTTTGTGGAGAAACCTCTGAAGACCAGGGGCAAACTCAGATTTGCAGGGACTGTCATTTTACTTTCTGTGTGTATGTGTGTGCATGTGTGTGTGTGTATATAGATTTAAAAAGAAAAAAGCCATCTCCCACATTTTGGCTGGATGTAGACTGGTGTGGTTAAGAGCACAGACCCTGGCACCAGGTGTGTGTACAAACCCAGGCTCTGCCTGACTGGATGTGTGACCGTAGGCAAGTCATTTAACCTCTCTGTGCCTGTTTCTACATTTGCAAAATGGGAATAATAATGGTCCCTGCCTCACAGGACCAAATGTGAGGACTCAATGAGCTATTATCTGTGAGACTCGTGCCTGGCACACATGAAATGCCAGGAAGGCCCAAAATAATACATAAACAGGAGATAAGCCTGAAAAAGTGATTTTCATCTCATTGATATTTGCCTTCGCAATGAAGACTGTTGTGGCCTCCACTAGCCTGGGTATGAGAGACTGCAGTCAGTTATCACTGTGTCTGAGCAGTTAGGAACCTGCGCCTTGAGTCTGTCAGGAGAGTGTTACTGGGGTCCCCATGACATGGAGGAAGGAGTCAGCTTCAGACTGTGTTGTAGCAAATGTGCTGGTGCTCCAGAGAGGCTTGTAAGACCTGCCCTGGTGATCCATGACGGACGGAAAACTTGCCAAAATTCTCCCCTTGGGACGTCACCTGAAAGGGTGAACCTGGGCCCTGGACTCCACAGCCAGTACAGAACACAGCGCGTTCCTCCCGAGCCTGCTCTCTGCACACGCACCCCCGCCTGCCTTGCCTTTGTCCAGTGAGCCAAGGCCCACAAGTCTCTCTCACTGGGCAACGTTGAGCTCAGGGAAGTCTGGGAGGCAGCAGGCCCAGAACTGGAGTGAGTCCCACCCAGGACCAGGTGGAAGAGCAAAACAAGAAAGATGGGTGTCTCGTCTTCCTGCTTAGAGGGAGGCAGAATATCTCTGCAAATGAGCCAATTCCGCCATCTCCCAGAGACTCACAATTCAAAGACTCAACGGGTGGTTTGGAAACACACACACACACACACACACACACACACACACACACACACACACACACAGAGAGAGAGAGAGAGAGAGAGAGAGAGAGAGAGAGAGAGAGAGAGAGAGAGAAATCAGACCCAGACCCAGAAAGAGGTATTTGATTTTGTTTACAAAGTGCCTTTACAGTGCCTGAGAGGAGGGCCAGGCAAGGTCTCCCAGCCTTAACAGGGCGGACATCTGAGCCCCAAATATTTCAATATGATGTGTCCTGAGGGCTCCGATTACTCTCGGTGTAAACACAGATCACAGGGCTAATTTCAGCTGGCAACAGCAAAAGCACAGTCACAGCTCTCTCAACACCAAGCTCGGTGTGCCCCGCAGCCAAGCCGTACCTTGCAAATCGCGGATGATTCTCTGCAGCTGGCTCTCCACGCTGGTGGACGCCATGGTAACCGTGACCGTCAGGGGCCGCCTTTCCTGGCTGTGGGCCTCCTGCCTGGGGCCGCTCAGCAGTGGTCAGACTCCGAGGTGGCACCTGCACAGGAAGGAGGCCGTGGAGGAGGCGGTCACAGACACAGTTTAAAGACAGTAGTAGAGGCACACTGCTCTGGGCACAAAGTCGCCCCATCTGGCCATCTTCCCTCAATGGGAAGGGCTTGACCTTTCTGTGTGGGCCTTGCTCTGTGGGCATTCTCTGATACACTTATGTTCAGACACAGGGACCTGGTTGGGAGCTTCAAAAGAAACAAGATCAACTAACTAGCATGACCTATTCTTTCTGAGCTCCCCTCCTAGTCTGCCCTTAGACAGGCCTGCCGCACTTTCCACTAAAAAACGCTTCCCAGTGGCTCCCCCCCACCCCCCTACACCAAGGCCAGAACTAGTCCAACCCTGCTCACTGACCTGCTAAGCCTAAGGTGCCACCACACCAAATCTGCTGTCTCCTCCAGGCCGGGCCCTACCCCCTCCCCAGGCATCGGGTGGAGGCGTGAGGCTGAGGACACATACCCTAAGGGCTTCCGGACCAAGGAGAGCCTGGCTTGCCTCTCAGGGAGGTCTGCAGCCTCCAGCCACCAGAGTCCCGCTCAGCTTGGGAGGGCAGACACCAGGGGCCGTCAGGGGCCTGCGCAGCCCTCAGGACCAGTCAAGGGCAGTCTCTATTTTAAGCTCGGTTACAGTCCTCTCACGGCTGGTGAGTCCCGAGTTACCAGCGCTACTTGGGCAGCTGCTGAAGTGATTTAAGGACGCAGTGGTGGCTGGAGACCAACAAAGAGGAGGAGATACGAGCAGCATCGGAAGGAGGTCTGGACATGCACTTGGACACCACTGTATCCTCCTTTCAGAACCTCTAACCCTTTCCTTAGATGTCCGCTGCAAAGGCGTAACATTTGCTGGCAAAAGCAGTTGGCAAGACTAGAGGTGGCCTTAGTAGCCACCCCCAGACGAGGGCCTGCTGTGCACTGGGCCTGTTAGGTGCTTTACACACTCACTCATTTTAATTCTCAGCAGCACCCTGGGAGATAGATGACGTACAAGGGAGAAACTGGCATACAGAGAAGCTGTGTAACTTGTCTAAGGCCCCGGGCCAGTAGGGAGGGGAATCGTGATGTGAACTCTGGTCAGTCTGAATTCAACCCCTTTGGCTCTACAACGGAGCCACTGTCACTACAGCAAATGTCAACCACTTCCACTGGCTTCTAGGAACTGCCCTGAACTCCAGCGCCTCTCAAACGTGCCACCACCTTGAGTGTTTCAAACATGAACTGGTCCTCACTCTCCCACCACGCTCTTCGCCTTACTGCTCCAGGAGACAAGGCAAGAAGATCCAGGAGGAGAAATGGTTGCCAACCTCAAGTTCCTCAAATATTTACACAAGCATTCCAGGTCAGCCTGAGGCCTGGGGAGGGCCTGTCATGGCGCAGATATGCCAAGGCCTGTTTTTAACTCACAAGCCAGTGCAGCTGTGAGTCAGTGCAAACAAGGCCCAAAGAGGGCTCCTCCAGCCTAGGAGGAACTAGACAGGTACATACCTGTACCACACTCCCAGCAATTCGTGACATGGAGGCCCAGAGAGTCAGGGCATCCACAAAAACTCCGCCCAAGTCCCTAGCAAGTGCTGGCACCTGCCATCACAGACACCAAACTGAGGGTGCGTGTGATTTACCAGAAGCCGGCCTGCCCACCCCTGGGTGGCTCTCTAGGTCAGCTGCTGAACACAGAGCCTGAGCAGGGACCAGCCAGGGCCCTAGAGAGCAGGAGCCCAGGATGGGCCAGACTTCTGCAGGGGCTCTGCTGCCTGGGCAGACACTTGGCTCCTCCCCCAGCGAGGAGGAGAGGACCGGGGATCATCACTGCCACTGCACAGCTGTCCCGGCGCCACACGGTCAAGCGCAGCCTGGGGGTACTGGGGCAACAAGGCGCCACCCAGCCCTGGAGGAGCTCGACCGTGTACCAAGAGGACAGACAAGAAAAGAATCCAGATATGCGGATATGGCAGAAGAGGTCCATGCAGAGACATGAATAAAAAGTTATGGGTACTCAGCAAGGAGAGGGAATGAACCAGGGATACACACAACAAACGACGTTTGCCGAGTGAAAGGAGCCAGACTGAAAAGCTACCTACTTTATGATTCCATCTGCATCCTGTTCTTACAAAGGCAAAACACTGGGGGCAAATGAGATCCATGGGTGCCAGGAGCTGAGGGGGAAGGGAGGGTTTGTCTACAAGAGAGTATGCAGAAATTTTGGTGGGCAACTCTACTGTGCGTCGTGATTATGGTGTTGGTTACATGACTGTATATATTTGATGAACATACATTTGTCAAAACTCACATACTGTACATCTTATCTCAGCAAACAAAAGAGCAGCACTGGTATGAATTTAGCAAGATGCAATGGGACCTGAGGAAGGGAACTTGCATTCCGCTGGGGGAAGGGAGAGGATGGTGGACACTCTCAGTAATGGCAACTGAGTTGGGTGATGAACAGGAGGTCATCGAAGAGACCTGAGGAGGAAAGGGCGCCAGGGTGGAGGGTACAGCAGGGGTAGAGGCTGTTTCTCTACCTGCACTCCCCTTATTTGACTATGGTCACCAGAGAGCTTTGTACCTTCGGGAAGAAATAATCTTGTAAGAAGATAACCTACACCCCATGAGTCCACTGGGTCTGAGTATACTTGCTTAAAACTAGGCTGAGACTCGCAAATGACAGAGAGGGCGGAGCCTGGAAAGGAAGCACTAATGACAACAGATTCTTAGTCATCCAGGCTCTGGCTGGGACAACACGTGAACTATACGACCAGCTGGATTTCCCAGAAACCAGCCCTCTTTGGAGCCTGGCACGAGGGCAATAGTGTCTGTAAACCCAACTGGCATCTTGGAATGATGAGCCTGAACAGATAGAAACATGCTCCTTCAAGACTTCTTGGCACTTTGGTGAAGCCGCAGGTGTCAGCCCGAGCCCAGGAGGCCTTGGAGTGCCTCCCTCCCCTGAGGCCAAGTTCCCGGGTCACCGGGTGAGCCGTGCCCAACCACTGATTACACAAGTTGATTTTCCAAAGACCCTCTGCCTCACCACCAAGATAATGAGCCCTGAGAAACTGCTGCTAGGCCTGGAGGTCACAGTGACTACACAGTGACCCACCACGGCTGTGGGTCACCACCTCACAGGTTTTCAGGAAGTAAATGGTCACCACAGGCATGCTATTTTCATGGACTTGAAAGAATGACTCTTCGCATTCTGGCCTTCCTTTTCCTGGGCCTGAGGTTATTGTTAAACTTCAAAAGACACAGAATGGGGCACAGTCTCTCTCCACTCCTTGGTCAACTTCCTTGTGTCTCTAGATAAGCTTGCCCTTTGGTTTAGGGATGAGATATTTTTTACTCACAACACTTCTGACACCAAATGTGTGGCTTTTTCCCCCACACCGATATCCAGCTGACACTAATGGGTGTCCTGCAATTCAATTCTTTTTCTTTTTGGCCATGCCGCAGGGCTTGCGGGATCTTAGTTCCCCGACCAGGGATTGAACCCGTGCCCTCAGCAGTGAAAGCGCAAAGCCCTAACCATTGGATCACCAGGGAAGTCCTTCAATTCAGTTCTAACTCTAACTACCTGAAGCCAGAGCAGACCCCATAGGTTAAAGGCTCAGTACACAAGGCTGCCCCGGCTTCAGACACCAGTCACAGGTCCCAGTACCTGTCACTACCTGCACTTCTGACCAACCAGCTATAAACTGGGGTTCCCCAAATCCCCATCTCAGGTTCTATAATTTGCTAGAACGGCTCACAAAACTTGGGGAAACATTTTACTATAACCGGTTTATTTTAAAGGACACAATTCAGCAACAGTGAAATGGAAGAGATGCAAGATAAGGGGGGTGGGGTGGGAGCTTCCATACCCTCAGGACTCTGCGCCCTCCGGCACTTCAATGTGTTCATCAGCACAGTATTTCTCAGAATCCTGTCATTTGAGGTTTTTATGGAGGTCTCATTACATAGGCATGACTGATTAAGTTACTGGCCACTGGCCATTTACTCCACCTTCAGCCCCTCTCCACTCCCCAGAGGGGTCTAAGGGTGGGGCTGAAAGTCCTCTGGCAACCAGCCCTCAGGCAGAAGCTATCTATCCAGGGACCCATGAAGAGTCATCTTATTAGCATATGGTTATGCTTATGGTTGAAAGGGTTTTGCTATGAATAACAAAAGACACTCCTATTACTCAGGAAATTCCAAGAGTTTTGGAAGCTCTGTGCCAGGAACCAGGGTAAGAGACCAAATATATATATTTCCTATTATATTACAGGAATCACAGACTTCTGGCATGAACCAGTGCGATCCTGACCTCTACAACCCATTGGCAAACTGCTCTCCTAACTCAGGAGACACTCAGAGATTGCTTCTATCCACACCGCCATGGGCTCCAGGACCCCAGTGCCTTGCAAGGCCCCCAAAGTGCAAATCACCACCATCAACCCAGGGTCCTTGTTGCATGACATTGTGAACACCTCCATCACTGTCTCTAGCAAGCTCTTTCAAATACCAGAGAAATTCATTTTATAAAATTTGGGGGAACACTGGATTCTCTGGCCAACAACTCAAAATTATGTTTAAGCTTATCCAGAATGTCTGAAAACATCCAATCTTCTGGTAAAGAGGAAAAGGGACTAAACGCGTTTTAAAAAATTCTTATTTATTACCTGGTACTGTGACCTGGGTTCCTCGTCACAGCCTATGTATTATTTTAGAGGTAAAGGATCTTCCCTGACCTCCAAATTCCTCCCATACCTGCCTAGATGTGCCTTAAACAACAGAGACAGCAGTTCAGTCCCAAATTAAGATACGAAGACACTGATTCACGTAAACTTCTTTACACTACGGTACAAATGACTAATACTCATGATGTTGCCCCAAAACTGGCTCTGGCAGGAGAAACACAGTGCCAGCTGA